AAAACTCATAAGTACAATATAAAATTTCAATTTCTTCTCTATGCTGTATAGATCTCTAGAGAATATGCAGAGTGTTACAAAATGATTACACCTTTCTTTACAACTTAACCCTGAAAAGCCCAATGTCCCATTCAAGGGGCATTAGAATATTTTTAATAAATTCTGTGTATAAGAGCTTATATGTAACAAACTAACATTTTTCTGAACTGATATGACCTTAGTGATCATACAGAGATGAATGTAAATTTTAAATGATTTTACTAACGCAGGACATTATCATAAGGTAAATGTTCCTTCTACTAAAAAAAAAATTCGAAACAAAGGAATTTTGACTTGAAATTTTGCTCGTAAATAGCTGATATGTTATTTATGATTGTTCTTAAATTTTCAGCAACACGACATGAGTTTTTTTGCACAATATTACCGATTTTTTTCTACGTCCAATATCTTAATAACAAAGCATCCATTTTGACTGAAAATTTCAGGATCATATAAACTGATTAACTGTGACATTTCAGATCGAAACCCTTTTCTTTCAGGTTTTTGCAAAGTCTCAGATTTCTGCTAAAGGACGTTGTATAACTCTTGAGAAAGAACAAGGTACTTCGTTTTAGCTATAGTATAAGCATACTGAGGATTCATCAACTCTATATTTGTGGTTGTCTTCCTTCTGTTGCAAGAAAAACTTTCTTGAACTTTTAAGGGTGAAAATAATTAAAATTATAGTGATTTGACGCAGTCAATTAATATAGTTACATAGAAGTTCATCCGCATAATATGAAAAAAAAAATTTTTCTTGTTTATTAATTCAATCATGACAATTACCAGTTTATTCGATCTTTACTACAAACAACAATAAATATTACAATTCTTTTTTTTTTGTCTTTTCTATATACATAAACACCGGCGAGATTATTTACGATATTTTCTGAATAGTTCATGTTTTGGTTTATTTGAACGAGCTGTACCATTTGTTGTTGATTTCTTTTTAACTTCCATATATGTTGTTTCATCAGCACCTGATAATGAATTCATTGTACCAACACGTCGATCAACGGATGACTAAAAAAATAGAACATCATTATTTTCATGTGTTTAAAGAAAACACAAAAATAAAAATTTACCGTTGATGATGTACTTTGTCCAATTGGTTCTTCTTCTTTATCTTCACCACGATCTGTTGCTAGAAGAACACGTTCAAGTAATTGTCGTTGTTCTTCTTTTGTTGAAAAAAATAGATTATCTTCTTCACTAGCTAATCGTGTAATAACCTTATATGAATAACCTTGATTAATAAGAAAACTTTGTCGTTTAGCTGAATAATACATTTCAACTGTATCTTGAGATACAAGTGAATAAAAAAATGCATTATATTCTTCAACAATAGTTCCTAACAAAAATTCAATATTATAATTTTATATTATTTTATTTTCTTATTTAAATTAACCTTTTTTAGCTCGTAAAATTCGACCAAGTCGTTGAGCTTCTTGTCTTCTTGAACCACCATGACTTGAAATTTGTATTAATACATTAGCATCAGGTAAATCAAATGATGTATCAGCGACCTAAATTTTTTTATTAGAAATAAAAAAAGATCATTTTATTTAATTTACTTTTGAAACAAATATTGTATTTATTCTTGGATTATGTTGAAAATTTTGTAAAATTTGTATACGTTCACTTTGAGATGTTTTACCACATATATATGGTCTAAATATATATATATCATCGAATAAAAAAAAGTTTCTAATCATTATTTTTCTTACTTGTCTAATTTTTTTGCATATCTTTCTAATGCAAACATACTATCAGAAAAGACAATAATTTTATCATTACGTCTTTCATGATAACGTATTAAAAATTGACATGAACGAAATTTATTTGGATTCATAACACATAAAAGTAAACGTCGATGTTTATCATTTGTTACTGATACATATTCTTGAAAGAAATCTGGTGTCATTTGGCACCAAACCTTTTTTTTTTACAAAACAAAAGTTTTAAATAAATTATTTCTTTAAAAAAAAACATACTTCAGCACATTGAACTTTAGCAATATGACCTAAATTTTGTAATTCCATCCAATTAGCTTCATATAATTTCGGTCCAATTAAAAAATTTAAATCAGTTATTTTATCATCTTCTCGTACTAATGTTGCTGTAAGACCTAATTTTGTATGTGCACGTACAATAGTTAATACTTTACGAAATCTTTCAGCTGGTATTGTATGAACTTCATCAAGAATCATTAAACCCCATTCACGATCTTTAAGTAATTTCATTACTTCAGTTGTTTCAGCATTACATCGTTCAGTACGTGCTATCATTGGATATGTACTAATACAAACACATGAATCTAAGATAAAAATTTATTTTTTTATGATAGATTAGTTTTTTTTTTTTGAAAATTACCATTTGGTTTTTCTTTATCATCAGAAGTAAATAATCGTACTTTAGAATCATCAGCTGTTGACCACATTTTAAATTGTTGTTTCCATTGTTGAACAGAAACATTTGAATTACAAAGTACTAAACAACTTTTATTTATTGTACAAGCTGCTGTAACACCAACTAAAGATTTTCCGGCACCTAAAAAGAAAAAAAAACAGAATTATATTTATTAGAAATTCTATTAAATTATATACCGCATGGAAGAACAATTAAACCAGATCGTGCACGTCCTTTAACATACAAAAAAAATTAATTAATAAAAATTTTTTGTTTTCTTTACCATTGCCAAACATTTTTCTTAAACTTTTTTCTTGATAAGGACGTAAAATTGCATTAGGTCGTAGTTCAATATTTAAATTTTTTAATATTGTATCATGACGAAAATCATATTCTTCAAGTAATGGATGTTCTAATTCTTGACATCTATATATATATATATAAAATTGAGAAACAAAAAAATAAACCATGATATTAAATTATTACCGTTTTCTTAAAAGTTCAATTTTATTTTGAATAATTTCAAATGAAACAATTTTTAAATCTTCAAGATCTTCTTCATCTCGATCAATTTTTTCATATAAACGTCGAATATCATCAGGTACTTGTTCATTTGTTGTTGTTGATGTATCAGTTGTTGTATTTATATTAGTAGTAGTTGTTCCAGGAATAATAAGTCGTGGTTTTTCTGTTATTGCATTTGTATCTAAATTATTTCCTGTTGTTATTAATCGACATTCTTGAATTTGTGAATCTTGAAGAAGTTTTTTTAAAACATCCTAATCCAAAAAAAAAACAAAATATGAATTGATGATGATGATGAAAAAAACAAAACATTTGACATACAGGATAAGCACTTTCAACAAAATATCGATTATGTTTTAATACTAATTTTACTTTTGCATAACTTAATGTACATAACTAAAAAAGAAATTTGCAAAATATAATTTTATTTATATAAGAGAAAAAGAATTTTTTTTTTACTTGAATAAATTCAATAATACCATTTGGTACTGATGTTTTACTAAGTCGTTGTAAATATTCAGTTATATCTTTTGTTTGCAAACCAACAGATACAGCAGCATAAAGTGAATAAGCTGATAATTTATATTCATGAATATATTCAGGTCGACAAACAGGCTACAATAAAAATAAAACAATAATTTAAATGCCTTGTCTTACGAGGGAACTTCTTCAAGTGTTAATCGCCGATCGAGCTTATATTTTCCCCATAAGTAAGACTCAATGCGCCTAGCAGAAACCCGGAAAAATTCGCCCCTATACGCTGTCCTTCCGGAATTACGATGGTTTTACTAGTTTTTCAACCTATTTATAGGGAAGTCTAACAATGGAATTTTGTCCATAAGCAAGTCTCATGGTCACTAGAATGTCCTAAAAGTTTCAGCAAATATGAACATTTTATTTCTTAAGATATTGAATTTTCAAGGAATGATCATATTTCAAAGGCAAAGGTCAAAAAAGTCGAGTTTCTTGAAAACTCAATATCTCGAGAAAGAAGTATTCATTTTAGCTGAAACTTTTAGGACATTCTAGTAACCATGAGACCTGTTTTTCACTGTTCGACTTCCCTATAAATATCATGGCCAGTAGTCGAAAAATCAGTAAAACGGTCGTAACTTCGGAAGGACAGTTTATAGCGGCGAATCTTTCTGGGCTTCTGCAAGGCTCATCGAGTCTTACTTATGGGCAAAATATAAGCTCGATCGGCGATTAACACTTAAAGAGATTTCCTCGTTAGTACATTTCTGAAATACAAAAAAAAATGAATACCTCAGCTATAGCAATTAAAAAATCATGAGCATGTTTATAAACTGATGAAAATGATTCAAGAAAAATATGACCATCTAAAAAGAAATTTAAAATTTTTTTTTTGTTTTTTATTGAATGAATATTTATCTACCTGGTGTAACCCATAATGGACGATTTTCATGATCAATTTTTAATTCCATTTCCGAACGAAAATCTTTTAAACCTTGATTAATTATTCCTATTGTAGATGATCGATATAAATCATCATCTTCAACATCAATTGAATCTTCTAAACGTCGAGATGCGGCTTTTGGAATAAATGCTTCTATTAAAAACAAAAAAAAACAACCTATGAATCAAACATTTTCTTAATGAATTATAATTACCTTCATTAATTTGATCATCATCATCATCATCATCATCAAAATTTCCATCTTTAACATTATTATCAATACTTTTTAATAATTTTGATACTCGTCCTAATGGATCTTTAGATGCAGTTCGTTTACTCATATTTTATTCAGGTATATGTTTATGAAGATAAATATTAATTAATGCGTAACCTATAGCAACAAATATAATAATAATAACAAGAATTAAATCGTATGTTCTAAATCCAGATAAAGATTTTATTGATTGTTGATCATTTTTCATTACTTTTTATAACAAAAATCTGAAATTAAGAAAAAATGTCAAATATTTACAATATATCATTTTTTGTTTTTTCTGTTATATATAAAAAAAAACAAAAAAAAACTAGACAATATAAACATATTTTTTTTTCATTTTTTTGTAGGTTCAATAGGTTCTTGTTTTATTTCAACACCTTCATCTTCATAACCACCACTAATTTGTTCAATATTATTAGCTGAATCTTCATGTAATAAAACATATTCTCTTGTACTAAAACCAAATTTAATAACATCATTTTCACGTAATTCATAATAACGTTCTGATTCAATTTTTTTATTATTAAGAAATGTACCATTAGCTGAACCTAAATCAATAATATATGGTATAACACGACGTCCCATTGTACTATCATCACGTTTATAATCCATTAAACGATATTGTAAAACAGCATGTTGTTTTGAACATGATGGATGATCAACTGGTAAATCACAAACAGTACGATCACGACCAATTAAATATGCTGATTGACGATGAATTTGATACATTGGTAATTCCTATGAAGCAAATAATTTTATTTATTATTTTGAAAAAATATGAAATTTAATACAATCGAACTTACTTGTTCACCTTTAAAAACATAAAAACGCCATCGTCGTTTTGGTTTTCGTGCTTCAATTGGTTCACTATATTTAATAACAACACCTTTATATGTATTTGTATCTTTAAGTAATGCACCGGATAGAGCAAAATTTGGTTTTTCTTTTTCAATAGGAATTTCTTTTGATTTTTCTTTTTCTGTTTGTTTTCCCCATTGATAGGATTTATCTTCTTTTATACGTGGATTACGACGATTTATTGTAGAAGATTCATTAGATTTTTGTGAACGATTTCGACGAGATTCATCATCAGTTATAGGTTCTTGTTTAACACGAACATCTAAATATATATTTATATGATTTGTAGAATTTTGTTTTGTTTTTTTTTCTTACTTGAACGTGATCGATTATCTTCACGAGATTGTTCTTGATGTCGTTTTTGATAACGTTCATGATTCTTATCAGAAGCTGCTGATGATGATGATGAATCTCTTCGTCTTTTTTGTTTTTGATTTGAACTAGAATGACGATGTGAATTTGATTTAGGAGAACGAACCATCTTATATCAAAACTTTTCTATATTAAATATTCTTCTTTCAATAATGATTACGAAACTTCTATTTTTCTTCTTTACTTTTTTTTTATTTGTTAGAATTTATAACCTATTACTAGAATGGTTTTGTATAGATGACACTATCGTATGAGAAACATTGATAATGAAGATTTTTATTGAAAAAAAAAAACAAAAATGAGAGCAATCGTTCATTGATGATAACAATTGAAAGATTTTGTAATCTTTCATCAAGTACATTTAATATCTATGGATTAAGAATATGTATCGTTTCATTCATGATTACTAATTATTATAAATTGTCAATGTAATCGTTACGATTAAATAACATTGAACTTCTTTTTTTTTTGTTTTGTTTGTCTATTAGAAAATAAAAGAAGAGATTAATATTCATGTTTAGAGTTTCTTGATAGAAACTAAATATATAACACACATTTTAATCGTTTGTATTAGATTAAATTGTCTTCGTAATAGAAGAAACAAAAAAAAACAATCACTTGTTTTTGTTTGATACTATCAATCGTTCTTGCCTTTCACACATTATAACATATTGCATACACATATACAAGATTGTCGTGCTGTTTCAGTTTGCAATTATTGCTATCAATACATAGACAGTACAGGTAAGAAATAGTAGCATTTTCTAACATGAAGTATTATCATTTTTTTTGTCATTAAATTAAGGACAACGACGACCGACGTTGTTGATGAAGGTTGAAACCTTGTTATGACCCTGCAGACTTCTCCCTTAATGTAACGGTGATTAACTCTTCAAGAGCAGCAGACATTTTGTATACGATCATTATTGATTCAACAAGAGTAGAGAAAAAAAAAACGAATATATGATGTGATTGAATAGTTCGTATTCGATTAGGTAAGAGGATGTGGCATCAACCGAAACATATATAATACTTTTAAATAATCATCTTTATATTTATACTAAAGAAATGGTCACAAAACAAGAACAACCTGATTGGTCATCAAATCTTATTGATTCACTTTGGTTTCATATTGGTAATTATTTAAATATCAATGATATTGATCGTTTAAGTCGAACATGTTCTCATTTACATATACTTTTTACTAGTAATGATTTTTGGTCATATCTTATTCGAATGAAATTTGGTTTAATTATATGGCGTCGTTTTATTAAAAATTCTACAATTTTAATTAATGATAATAATAATAATGAATATTCTTCATCAATTAATCAATTATGTCGTTCAAAATTAATCTATTGTGAATTAATTAAACGTCAATGTATATCATTTACTGATTTTAATCAAATATATCTTGATACAAATCGAAATTATACAACTATATCAGATTCATCAAGTTTAAATGGTGAAGTACTTTATATACATGATTCTGTTGAATTTTGTTATTCATTTCATATTGAAACAAAATTTAAAAATATTCTTCCTGGACAATATGATGTTATATGTCGTATGAAACTTGATTTACCATATATATTAGGTGATACAGAATTTATTGCTATTGCTGAACAAATAAATCCTAGTAAAATAGCATATTTACGATGGACACAAGATGATTTTTTAACTATGTATCGATGTTTTAATTGTGATTTAACAAAAACAAATTTATGGTTTTATCATAATATTGGTATTGTTGAAATTCATGGTAATGAACGTTGTAATGTTTATGTATCAATAACAAATCAAGATCCAATACATGCAAAATATGGTCTTTATTTAGATTATATTGAATTAAAACTTCGATTAGAATAGAAGATAATATAAAATAATATAGTTTTTTTTTTTTTTTTCTCTTTAACCATTTTCTATTCGATAAGTATCTATATAGAAAGCAATACATTAATTTTCTATATGATATGAGAACATATTTTTTCTTTTTCTTTTCATATTTATTTTTTAAGTATATATTCGTAATTCAATAAAATAAGTTCATTTATAACATGACAGTATGAGTAAACCAAATTTTAAAGATAGATATGAGCAAGCCTTGTAATTTTCTTTTTAGAAAACATTGTGACAAGTCATATTTCATCCTCTTGATTGGTATTTTTTCTGTAAATTAAATGAAATTGATATGTGTTTTTATAACTATCATGTTTATCGTATTAGAAGAGTTTTTACTAGTAGAAATGTCAGGAAAAAGCATTATTGAGAGACAATCAAAAAACAAAAAAAAGGTATGAATTTTAAATTATTTTTCATATCAACGTTCTGAATAGTTTTTTTTTTTTGTTAATAATATTATGTACATAATTATTGGTCGTTAGATCCAATAAAGGCACAGTTTTGTCTTGTGATTGATTGTGGATAAGTGATAACATTAGTCGAAGAATTTTATCATTACGTCATCTTCAAATGTATCTTGCTTTGACATTGTCGTCTTTTTCGAGACTGATGTTTCTGATGCAGGCTTACTTATTAATTCGCTATTATTTGTTTCATTGTTATGGATTGTCTTGGGTAGATTGAGATTCTCAGGTGGATAAAGAGATATAGTCGTTGCATGTTTATTCGCATTGGCAGATATGGAAAAGATTTGTATATGATCGATTGATTTATAGGATTTTAGTTCATCAATGACTGCTTCATCATCGTTTGAAAGAAAATCGTTTTGATTTGTTGTTTGCATGCAATTTTTAACTTTTGAGGAATTGTGTTTAATCGGTGAATGCTGACAGAATTGATTATTGCTGTCAGATTCGACTGTTTTTTTCCTTTTTGTTGGTTTATGATTTTTTGGAAGATATGTTGCCGGCTTGTCGGATATTTCTATTACATTGTCAAGCACTTCTTCAAGAGAATTATTGTTATACATTAACTGGTTCACATTACCCAGTTGTGAACTAGCTGATATTGAATGCTTTGTTTTTGAAGAATCTTGAGAGGGTATTTGATGAGTAGGATCACTAGCCATAACTTGAGCTTCAAAGTTTTCATGTTCATGTGTTGCTTCTTGAAAAGAGTTCTTTTCTTGATTTTCTTTTTTCATATGCAAAGTATCTACGAATCCACCACATTTCTTGATACCAAAAGCTATCATAGGATTTTCACAATAGCCAGCAGCGTTCATAGGTACCTGAATACATCCGAGATCCAATTTAGGTTCTGGTGTTGTTGGACCAAAATCGACAAAATCATATTTTTTATCGAGTGCTTCTTTAATTACCCATTGAAGCATAACAAAATACGCTTTCATAGGTCGAGCTTTTTCATGAGTTAGTCCGTGAATATCAGTCGTCAGAAGTTTATTTGGAAATTTAAAAATAACTGAGCTTGCAATAACTTCATTATTGAAACGAAGAACAATGACTGAACGATATGCTTCGGTCATTACGCGACCCATCGCTGTAATAAATTGTGCAGACGGACGTGCTAATGTCGGTGGTTCATTTTTTTGTCGCCGAACTCGTGCAATATTCTCCCATTGATGACAAACTATTGTGCCTACTTCAACTCTGTTCAAATCGTGAACTTCTTCGATGATACCACCTTTATCGAGAAATTGCTGAAGATAACGTCGACGATTGGTTCTTTTTAACGTTTTCATATATTGTTCCAATGTCTTACCATGATGTGGTCGTAAATCGAGCAGATGAGTAGGTGGTAAAGGTAGAGGAAAGAAGCCGGCATCATAGATAGCTCTAGCCACTGGTTCAGTACTAAGTGCAGGTAAAAGAAGAACATCGCAACGTAAATTTGACTTTTGCATTTTGTTCCATTCAATTATACTTTGAAGAATATCAGTTGCACATGTTACATTGTCATCGTGATTTGCTGTGAAGAAGATACCTGTTCGAAAAGGCCATTGATAACCGAGTAAACCTAATCGAAGGACAAACGGACGAAAACAAGGTATAAAATTTTGCGAACCAAGTGTTCGTTGAAGAATCCGACTCCAAATACCTTTGATCACACCCGATACAGTTGTATCAAAGTTGTTAATAATCGTTAGAAAGACAATAGCTTCTGTGTCATCCCAATGACCGATGAGAATCGGAATTCGCCGAGCAGGTCTAGCAATACGCAAGACAATACAAGTAACATTGTCTAATTGACCTTGCTCATAGGCCATCATCAATTGTAAGGCAGCTTCACCAGTCATTCCATATAATGTTTGATTATATGCATCAATAGCTTCAGCCCAATGTTTGATATAGACTGTCGATTTTTTATTCAGTTGGATTCTTTCAACAATTAGTCCATTCCGGTTAGATCGACTCCGTTCTCTTAAACTGTGCAAGGATACGATGTTGAACATCAATAGAATACATCGTAGAATAGTAAGTACTATATCTGTAGGAATCAAAATGTTCACATCGGATGACTTGTTCTTATTATATAGCCTTATATAGAATAAAAATTGAATGAAAGTAGATGCAACAGCGACTATTATGCCGATTAGATATGAAACATTCAATAAGTACCAAATTTCATTTCGAAAATTGTTCAATCGATTCGCTTTTCCATAAGTGAACGTAGAACTAATACCAAGAATTCCTAAAAATATTGTGTACTTGGCATTCATTCGAGATATTCTATAACACCATTGTGGTCCATGACCGCCGGATACACTGGTAGAATAGAAAAAATGTACACGATTATTTAAAGTTAATGCCACGATAGAAATGGCAATGAGAATCATAGACGAGAAGAAGAGAACGGCACGGGAAAATCTATATTTCGGACTCCAAGCAAGGATTCGATTCCATAAAACACAAAGTGCGTAACCTAGCACAATTAATAGAAGAAGTATAATGCTAACGAGCTTGGTACTGCTGTGTAATGGCGTGTCTTTCGAAAGAGCACTAATCCAAGAAATAAATTGAATAATAAGAAAGATGATAAAAAAGATGAAGCAAATAATATTAATTAATAGATGAATATAATTGCAACGTTGATAGTGGATCATTTTATCTTTTGATTGTTGTATTTGTAGACGCTCGTAAATGATCAAACAAAGACCAAATGTTGCATTCAGAATACCGAGAATCAGTAAAATTGTTCCGAATATGAAATAGCTTAATTTGTCATAAGCATGTTTGTGGCGTTGATGAGCCAGATTGAAATAGACATGAATCAAAAGGGTGATTAGGCAGGCGAAAAAATTACTGATATTGACAATGATAAGTTTTCTAAGTTCACGTCGGACACCACGATTGAGCGATACGTCCACATCGCTTCGCGTAGAAAAAAAACTAGTATAATGCAATGGAAACATTATATCTTGAGAAAGAATACTTACCGTATGTAGAGTCTTTGTAAACTCTCTTGATCACTATTCATAGGAACAAGTTTTTTTTCTTCTGACAATCCAAAGATCTAAATCATTTGAAGAACACAACAAAACATTAAATGAATGGTAGATTTCCTCAAATGTTAATTTTGCCTCTACATACATATTGGCCTATATATCGGGAGAAAGAAAAGATATGAAATAGAAAAATCATGAAACAATATTTTTTCTTCTACTTAGTATGTGACAGTATCCTACTCGGATCGGGGAGGGTCACATATATTTGATCCATGTCAAGCAATGGCATTTTGAGGCAGAGTTCGAAGCGGTTCCATTTCATTTAAAGCCAATAAGACAGAATAGGAAATTGGAAAATAAAATATCTTCTTTTAGATTATTTTTAATCAACACTTAAATAAAAATTTTAAAAAAATTCACTAACCGTAAAGTATGATTATTTCTATCAAAGAAAACACGAAGATTGTTGAGCGATGAAATCGTCACTATCGAAACTGAGTTTACTATTTCTTCAATAGTCAATTTAAATGTTAGGAGTTGATTGTTGTTCGAAGTCGATCATTAGAGTTCATGCCAGCTGCTTCAAAACTCAAAATATTATCGATCTCCTACAGCGTTATATGCTGCATTGCTAACATGAAAAGTTTTTCTTTTTCTCTATCACATGGTATATATAATTATGAGAAAATATTATTTGTTTCATCTTTTTTTAGATGATATGGTTCACTTATATGTACAATAGGAGGATACATATAACTAAACTTCTTCAGTACTGAGCTGTGAAAACAACAATCCATTTTGAATTATATATTATTCGTTTTGATAGAACGCTTAATTATTATGATCAGAATCCAAATAAACATCAGTGAAAAGAGACAACTTTTGGCACTCATGAACATTCTACATTTGACTTAAGTATCTTATCTACAAATTAAGCTCAACCTAATAGTATGAATTTTTTTAAGCTTTGAGAAAACATATAATATTGTACATATAAGTCAATCGTTTCACCTAAAAGAAAATGAAGCAAACAATATTTTCTCATACTTATATATGCCATGTAAGAGAGAAAAGAAAAAAACTTTCATTTAATACGTATGTCAAATTAAAGAAGTTGAAGAAGGTAGGTAAACTCTGCATGTAAATAAGGTAGAGTATAACACTGTAGGAGATCGATAATATTTTGAGTTTTGAAGCAACTAGCATGAATTCTAATGATCAAAATCGAACGACAATCGCTACATTGTAACTTCATTAAAGATGTTAATCGCATGGTAAACTCTCGTTGAAATTGAATTTTACTACGATAATTTCACTTTTTGTGAAAGAGTAATTGAATAGAAATTTAAAAATTAGAGAATTTTTTATTGACTTCATACATCGTTGTGCGCATAGAAATACTAAAACAGTGTCTACTAGTATAAACGTCACGCTTTAATAAATTAGCAGCCTATTTACAACATCAGGTAAATATATGCATCATCTATGCTGAAACTTATAGAGACTTATTTCTTCTTAAGTCGAATTATTCTACAAATCGATTTTGATTTCCCGCACTAACAGACTTCCGAAAGAACCGTTTCAAGTAATAAATCAATTTTTCAGTTTGGACTTCACGCATAGGATAAATCTCATTGAAATATGAAATGTTTAAAAAGTATAACTGCTCTTAGATCTTCTCTTCAGAATTGTTAGACTTTGGTACGACATGTACCAGTAAAACGAATGATAGTATTTTGATCTGAAATTTTGTTGATTGATAGATGTAGTTATCAGTAGAATGTTCTGAAATATTAGCTGAAAACAATGTTCTCTTCAGAAGATATCAAGTTTTCAAAAACTACTCATATCCTGTGAAAGATGTGAGTATCTCAGATTTTTGAAAATTCAATATCTCATGAAGAAAACATTCTTTCAAGCTAAAATTTTCAAAACATCTTAGTCACAAGAACATCTATCTGTGAACGAAACCACAGATTGAAATACCGTCATTTAATTGGATGATACATACTTTGTCATAACCCACAACTTCAGTAAAATGGTTCTAACTCTGAAAAGAAGGTTTAAGAATATTTATCTTTGTGAAACATTTTATATCTCACTGAGATCTACTTTATATATGAAATCCTAAATCAAAAATGATTTATTAGTTGAAACAATTTTCTCGTAGGTAATAAATATAACGTCATATGAAAAATTTGTACACATACTTGTAAACAAGACAAAAATGATTCAGATCAACTATTTTTAGTTTTTATATGACGCTTTTATAAGGTCAAAAAATAAACGAATATTATGACTAAAGACTATTACAACATGAGTAATTTTAGTTTATACATGAATCAAATGCATCTTAAAATAAAAATATGTAAAATATAGAACCAAAAAGCCCAGTTTAAGACTCAAAAATTACTTAATCCAACAATTAAACAAAATGACGTGATTAAAGGCGTATTTGTGACTACTACGAATCATAATTATGTCCTACTACGTTTGATTTTGTAAACTATGAGTACGGATTTTCTTTTCACCATTACAAACTGCACTTATCAATAACATAATTACGATAGAGTTGATCACAAGAAGAAGAAGAAGAAAAGACATTATCTAAATCACAAAAATAGAATATTTTAATATATATAAAGAGACAAAATTCGAAAGCCTATAATATACTTTGACTCATGTTAACGTCTTCCTATCACGATATTATTATTGAAAAGAAAAAGAACGATCAAACAGCAATCTGATTATAAACACAGAAAATATACTGTCATTTACTTATTGCAAGTAGTGTGTATTATATAATGTTGTATTTTGTTGTTTTTCGACGTCACAGTAGTTTGGAGATATCCCATGTGAAAAAAAATAAGGGGAATAATCCAATTAAAATCGATGAAAATCTAAGGAAATCGATTGAAGGTTTTACGATTTCCTGTGGCAAAAAATCGATTAAAATCGATATTTTCTTGAACTTTTAATCGATTTTAATCTGATTATTCTCCTTATTTTTTTCACATAGGTAATGAATAACCAACTTTTTTCTCAACGATTGTAAAATTGTGGAGGATGTAAACACGTGCATCAATTGACGAACGATAAAAAAGATATATTTCTTTCATCGTTCTATAGTAATGCAGCAGATGTATTTAATATATAGGAAAAACATTAAGTGTGGGTAGATATTGTCACTTGAAAACAATTCACTTTATGTTAACACTGGTTATACAGTTTTATTAAAAGAAAACAAGAGTCAAGATGTATATAGGTTCAACAACAATAATAATAAGAAGGAAAAAAATATAAAAGAAAGACCAGACGAAAAAAAAAAAGAAATTACGTGTGTATATACACGTATAACGATAATCACCCCATAAGTAGAATAACAAATTATCGGAAGATGATCACACCATATAAAAGACAAAGCATAAAATAATTAAACTGTTGACAGGTAAAGAGTATATTCTCAATAAGAGATCAATGACAGCGAGGCAATAGATGAAAATAAAGATTCGACAGAAAATGATGTGTACACGTATTTTTTGTAGAACCATATACAAGGACTTGGCAGTAGATCTAATTGTCAGTCAAGTAAAAGATACTTTTTTAATGAAAGTTAAAAAAGCGCGAAAAGTTTCCCTGAAAAGTGACATTTTTTATGACTCCTGCTTACAACCTTCTAATACTTCGATTTTTTTTCACTCAAATTACTGATCTTTAACAAATCATGGGTTTTATTTTAGATATTTTTCATTATAAAAAATTGACCGAAATCTTTAATAAATTATACCAATCGATAGAACAAAACTTACTCTATAAAGCTCTGTATTTCATAAATCTTGTTAAATTGCTCACAAAAGAAAATAATCCATTATCATATGTGAAATCGATCACTTTTTCATTTGCTCAATGTGTCGTTTTTTTTTTTTTTATTGAAAATCGATACTTTTTAAGAAAGCTCAACTTGTTTGAGAGACGTTCTCAGATTCTTTGAGAAACTCAATCAAAGTATCATTGTCTGACTATTTTTTCCATTGATAAGATAAGAAAAAAAATGCAGAAACATTAGATCAAAATGCTTCTTTTCGTACCATTTTTCGGCTTTGACTCAAAAATCTTTAGTCAACTCAACACTTTACCTGTAAGTAGATATGACAATTTGTGTTTCTGAATCGACCACACATATCGAGAATACTTTCTGTCAAAAAATTTTTAATTACAGTAGTAATCAAAGGTGCCACTTTCAGATAGAAAGTGCTAAAATATAAATTTTTTTGCCTGATATTTTTACTACAAAAAGAACTCGAAAACCTCAGTGAAAAGTCCTAACACGCAATCAATCAACCTTGATCCAACGATTATAGAAAAAAGCACTGTTTTTGTTTTTGAAACTCAAAAAACAGCTTTTTCTTTTGACAGTTCTCGTATGCTGTTTTCTTTTTAGCGTTTTATCCATCCTTTTATTGACAAATAAAATTCTACATGTGGTTACTGAGTAGTGAAGCATCATAAAATTTTTATCTATGATACTTAAATGTGAGATCGCATAAATGCCAATCAAACCACAATTAGTGCTTGGGTTCAATTAGGATTTATCGTGCTTTATCGGTCGTCGAAATTTAAGAATATAATGAGTCGTATTTATGTATGTTTTTTTCTGATGGCGAGACTTTTGACAACTACTGCATTTGTCATGATGACGTAATTCTTATGATAATCACCTTTCTTTAACTGAATTTCTATCGACTTTGTCCAATTATTACTGATGTCTGTATCTCGTTTTCATTACAGTTTGAGCTTTACTAGGTAAATGTAGGTCCAAAATTTTTTCGGATTGCTTATTATTTTATTATTCCTATGTAGTAATATTTTCTTTGTCGAAGAAGCACTACAACTTAGTACATAATGAAATCGTTAGGTTGTTTACTTAATTTTTTACTCTGATTAAGTCTCAATTCATATATCTCTTTCTTTTAGTATTCTTATGATAATATTAAGTGAACAATAGTGGCATGAACTTTTCGAAATATTCCTAATACGTTAGATTTTATGAGTCTTTTGATACTCTATAAAAATATCTGAAATTTTTGAAAATTAATTGCATAACGAAAAACGAGAAAAGAAAAACAACGAAATCGTCAACATATTGGAAAGCTTCACCTAAAAGTCGTAAAAGTGTGACTTTCCAAGATAAATTATCTAAGTTCTGGTAAAAACTTATTATTTTTCTGCAACCAATTGCTAATATTTACGATTGTGATTTCATGAAATGATATTTCAACAGGTGAGTAACATATCATTATTGAAAGAGAAGCTAAAATTAATATTGATTTATTATAACTTACACGCTCTAGATCTGTATACTTAATTAAATGCATATTTTTCTCATTAGTCATCTGTTTCATTTATTGTAAAATTCAATAAAAAATTAGTTTGTTCGTATTCGTATATACTTTTTGCTGCTCTTTCATAAGAAGAACAACTACGTATAATTTTTTAATATGCTATAATGAATATATCGTTGTAAAAACCGATTAGATAACATCATTATGTAAATTATTCAAATAACAAAATGAAGTCTTTAATTAGTATAATACAAAATTCTAATATTGTGTTCATCTGTAAAGACAATAAAAGCGAAAATAAAATTTAGCTTACATTATGCGATTTTGTTCTTTAAACGTTGTATACAAAATTTCCAAATATTTTTTTATAAAATTGTTACAACAATAATAATCAATAAAACTTTCGATCCATCGTACTCGTGTTTTTTATTTAGAGCTTTTCAGGTATTCTTCTCAAAAAATAATCTCTTTCGTTTCGATTAAAACTATGAATAGATTCATAATGTGAATGTTTTTTGTAGCATGCTAAATAACATACTTTTGATATAGACTATGAAATCACCCAAAATAGCAACAAAGTTATCGTTGGATCTTCGTCAACTATCTAACTTCTTTAACAACACTTGGACTTTGATCTATTACTGAAACTTACAGTACACCAAATTGAATATTTTGGATAAGTAGTTTTGCGTTGCTTTTGGTTGAATGTTTTATTTTTTTTTTGTTGTTTTGTTCGAACTACAATATGTCTCTCATACATTGACTGGAACGATAAAATGATGAGTTTGTTCATAATTGGAAACATGATCTCGGTGAGACTGGAATAGAAGGTATGTATCAATGAAAATTTATTATCCAATGTTGTCCTTTGACAAAGGTTTAATCATATCAGTAAAGAGAGAAATTTATTGCCTGAAGCTTACACCGATTGTACATCTTCAGTTGGAGATGTAGTTCTGTGTAAAATTAATAACCGATATTTTCTGTTCTTGTGTTTTGCCTTCTCCTGTTCTTCAACAGATATGTCTGGTCCATCGACAACAACAGTTTTAAGCCGACCAAAATTTGCATTTTGAATGCTTATGAAGAAGAATGTGTGTTCATTATCGCGTTAGAATTTAAAATTTCTAACATAGATTAAAAAAATCGCTGTTCACAATAAACACACCTGAGTGCCAAAGTAACGATTTTCTTACTACATTGAGTGCTCTTTCAGTTCCATTATTGAAAACAGAAAGCATTGTTAGCCAAAAGCCTATTAGATAAACAATGGACTTTTTCTAGTATTCTACTGCCTAATAATTTTGCTCTTAAATCGGACACGTATCTCGATGACAATTATTTAGAGTAATAATCACTTGTAGCAATCAATATGTCATTGTTTACAATCAGAAAGCCAAAATATTAACAGTGGTTTTGTTCGGTTCTATCCGTGAGCAAACAGGAATGCGAATTGTCCTTGTTTTCTTCAATTCATTTCTTGAATTTATTTCATTATTTGGCGTGAATGAATTTGATGAAGTCCTACATACAACAATCATTCAATGTATTTTTCTTGCAAAACGACGAGGAGTCTCAAATCAAATCCTACAACTAATAGATTTGCATCAGAAGATTTCAATTTTCGAATGAAAAGAAATTGATAACTATAAAAGTTTTTTATTTTATTTTAACAAATAAAGTAAACTACATATTGATTGTTGCATAGTGCAAGAGAAAATAATCTGTTCATAGTTCTTGTCGACAAGGCCCTATTTGTTTTCTGCTTAATCATCATAATATTTATAACCATCTGCATCAGAATCGTCATCATCTTTGTTACTACTTTCTTCATTAGTCATTCGTTGCTCTTCTACTTCTTTTTCGAGTATAGTTTTCATTAGCATTCCGAAAACAGCAGATTTAATTGCATCCGAATCTGTAAAATCATAAGATTCAGCTCTGGCACGAGCATATTGAATTTCAATAGCTGCTTTGTCTCTCGTGTGAAAAGATTTGTAAAAATCGAAAAAGAATCGATTTTGCTTAGTAAGCGGCTGAGTTTTGTAGTTGAAACTATTGGCTGCAGCATGTTTTTCAAACGTTCGTTTATATAGAGCAAATATAGCTTCAAGTTCAGTAGCTAATGGACGTTGTTTAGGATCATGATGAACGCATCGATCGATTATTTCTTGAAAAAATAAGACTCCTCTTTGTTAAAATAATTTGATGTCCTTCATTTTGATATACATGTGACGTCTCCGTAAACATGAAGTACAATGTCAGACCAAATGTAAATACGTCAAGAGATTGATCACATTTATGTTGGTAAAATTCTGGTGGCATATAAGATATACATCCAGTATTTGTGACCATTTGTTGAGCTTTAGTTTCAATTCTAAATGCAATACCTAGATCACCTATTTTAGCTGTATAATCTTCATTAACGAGAATATTGTCAGGTCGAATATCACGATGAAAATCATTTTACGTCCATGTAATTTAAGCATTCCACTAGCAATATTCAAAGCTATGTTGAGTTTTGTTATATAGGAGATTTTTTCTTTTTCTATGACCGTTGTCAAACTTCTTTTACTCATGTATTCCATAATTAACATGCATTGTACTCCACCATTACTATTTGTAGGTGTATGATGAACAAAACCATACAATTTAAGAATATATGCACCTGATAATTCATTATATGCAGATAATTCTTTTACAAAACTTTCTATTAGTAATGGATTGAGTAAAACATCGAATACTTTGCAAGCAACTTGTTGATTTCTTGAAATCCATTTTGCTTGATATACTGAACCTATAATAGATGTTCATTTTAAGTTTAAATGAAATATCTAGATGATAGACATGGAATAAATTGAAAGTCTAGAAATTCAGTACACTTGTCAATATTTAGATTTTGGACTCGCTCGATGTTTACTAGAAGAGAATCTTTTTTAGTTGTTCATAGTTGCCTAATGGATATATAACATGTGAAAATAAGCTTCTGAATATTTCCAGCTATTGGTCCTAGTTTCCGTTCCTTCTTCCAAAAAAACAGTCAGAACTTTCTAGAGAATTGTGTATTGTGTACTAATAATCTCTTTAGTTTTCATCTCAGCATCATGAAATCGATATTCTTGAGATAAAAGCAAGTTATTCAACATATGCGAAAGAAACATCTCGTACTTATTGAAGTCAGAATTTTCTAGTCAGAGTTTCAGTGAGTACTAATCTCGATACGACTATTGTAGTCTGTCAAGTAGATTGAATTTTTATTTTTCTTGCTCTTTATCTCAGCATTCATCTCGAATTGTAGTTTAATAAATGAGAGTACTGTTTTATAAAGAAAAACTTTTTTTTCTGAATCTTACCAAAATTGCCTTGACCAAGTTTGTGACCTAATTCAATATCGCTTGTTTCGATAACTTTCAAATTATTTTCATCCATGATAATAAGTGGATGTTTCGCTGTATGATGACGTGTTTCTTTTTTCTTTTTCATGCATTTCAAACACAAATCATAACTAGGACATGTATCACATTTGAATCGGATTCCTGTAATTGACTTGGCTGAACAACCGTCACAAGCAACTCCTTGATGCTTGGCATTTTGAAAATATTGTATTAAGTTTTCCATTGTCACATCAGTATCAACATCATCAATCATCATACCGAATAATTCCATAGGTACTTTAAAATGTACAAAAGCATGTCCACTTCTATGATTTTCGGTTTCGCGTCGTTTCTCAAAACAATCACCGCATACATCAAAATCTGTACATTCCAAACACCTATAGCGGTCACCCATTATAGGCCACTTGTCACATATATCACATTTTGTATGATGTGTATTGCCGTCATGTAAAGGCGAATCTTCTTTTTTAACAAGACGACTGTCTCGTACTAGTTTCAGATGGCCATTTTCTCCATGATCTGGCAATTTCTAAATAATTAAGTTATAGCTACTAGGAAAATATTTCAAAAGCTTTGCTTGAAGATAAGTTTTAACTAATTAGTCTACTTTGTATATGCAGTTTGTTTTTTTTTGCAAATTCTCTCAGCAAGATAGAAACTCTCTGAGATATATACGCTGTACGCTTGCTCTTCAAAAATGCAAAAAATGAGAAATAATCTTTTCAACCCTAGTGTTCATCTTCTTTGAAAACAGTTGAAGTAGAAAATCATCCCTTTAAATTCAAAATTTTAATAATCAGAGTTTTTGTTCAATGTAACATTCTGCGAGATACTTGAGTTATCTATTGCCGAAAAGATCTAAATCTATGAAGATTATACTTCAAAAATATTTTCTTAAAAGAATCTTCATATATCTGCTCAATTACGAAACACCGTTATACCATCGACTAGCATTAGTTAATTTGCTGCTATGTTATTTTCTACAGATAAATATACCGTATGAAATGTGGAACCGTTCGATCGACTGTGATCATTTAGTTGATCTAAAATGACATAAGAATATATTATTTTCGAATTGATCTCAGTTTATTTGAAATAACAAACTTTTTTTTGATGATAGTGAACGAGTTGGATGAACATTGAGAAGTGCACGTAGATCTTGTTGTTTTGAACCTAAAAGATAAAAAAGTATTTGACATAGCAGCTAATTTTTAGAATATCTTATTGTTCTGTGCAATTTGTTATTTTTTCAAGCGAGACAATGATCTGATAGAAGTTAAAATTGAAAGATAAATTTGAAAAATAACATAAAATGAAAGATCATACGAACTTGATATTGTCCAGGATATTAAAAAAGTTTAAAAATGAATTTTTCTTAGTGAAAATCTAATATTTATTGAAACCAAAAGCTATGTATCAATGGTCGTTAAGGAAGAAGAAGAAGAATGCGGACAATAAAATGAAACTAAAAAAAAAAAGATCAAAATGACGTTTTTTTCTCTTCGAGTAATGTTCTCATGCACTTAAAATGACCCTATGTACAAAAGAAAGACGATGCGTGCAAGTTGTTTTCTAAAAAATCTAGTCCATATGACTAGGAAACAGAATGAATATCAACATTTACAAAATTGATTCACTCAACACAATATAAGCAGAACAGTGATCATCGTATGTTAACGCATTCATTACGATGAAAAAAATTGATTCTCATCTTCTATTTTAATACAAACCTTTTTGTATCACAAACGGTGTAACAGTATTACGAGACTCTTTGCAGCCCATATTTCATTTAATGTTTGTCTCAAAATAACAACAATACTCGAAACGACAAGGTAACTATTTGTTACTTATAGAATTTGTCCCACAGAAAAAAAAATACCGCAACGTTAGTAACATGCAACCAAAAAAAGAATACCAAGGACAAAAGCAAATAGATTTAAAAATAAAAGTACTGATGAAATGTAAGTGATTCAATTTGAACTTTAAATTTGGTAACGTTTAGTGATGCATGTATGAAGAACAATCAAATCGCTTTAAATTTGTCCTATTCTGATTTTTTTTGACAGCAACAAAGCAAAATTGAAGGAGACGTATTGTACTTTGAAAGAAAAGGGCATTTGTTTTATTGTGTACATGTAATATAGATTATTTATATTCTATATTCATAGGTATATGTCAATGCAGAGTTTTTACTAACGATGAAATCGTTTGTATTGTAAATTAAAATGATCAACGATGTTCAACTCAAATTATTATTTTCATCGAGAAACTAAAGAAACTTAAAATGTGATTTATCCGTATCACACCTTTACCGAGACATTCAATTTTTAAGTTACTCACATAAATTCTCGTATATAATCAAGTTTTTTTTACGAACGTAGTTTTGAAAGTCTGGTTCAAATGAGAGGTTGCATTTGAACAAAAAAATCGATCTACTAAACGGCCAAACCTATTAATTAAAAATGGCATACTTTCCCCTTGTGCAATGATATTTTGTCGTAGGCAAGATTAGTATTGTTTTTTTTGATTTGACTAATATGGTAAAACAAAACAAGATATGAAAAAAATATTTCTAAATTTTTAGCAGCACATCTATTTAAGACACAATTTATTTTAAAAAACTTTTCTTCCGTCACTAAGTAGCAATGTAACCAATGGAGGCATTTTTATTAAAGACAAATATTTGGTTCGACTTCTCGTGTAATAATTAAGGGTTATAAAAAGTATGTATGACATATGTGATTCCTACTGTTACTTTCTGAAGATCACTACAGATACCATTCAATAGTTTAACATCTTGTATTTGTTTAGCTGTTAGAAAAACTTGTGAAATCTATTTGATTCACTGTTAAATATTTTTGTCGATACATATGCGGCAGACCTATGACGGATCTAGCTAGGATTGAAATAATATATTGAAATGTTGCGATAAAAAAGAAATACATCAGTAATGTATTTGATCAGTAAATGATCTGTAAAAAGTATCGTGAATATATAGATAACATCCTTTGTTTATTTACAATTTGGTTTGATGTCTTTTAGTATACTTTCACCGAAGAGGACATGCGAACATAGCTACCATAAAAGTAATAAATTTATTTTGCTCTTAAACGGAATAGGTAGCTTATTTTATCGTGAAGTCAAGGAGAATTGAATGATTGATTCAGCTGCAACAATTTGGTAAATAGTTTTTTTTTTTCGTTCAATTGAAATGAGTAGAAGTTTGGAAAAATGTGTCTTCGATTCTCAGCTCAATCATTCATGGTCGTAGATGTCCATCAACCTGTTAGTTAGACAAAGGCTTGCCAATTAGGGGGACGAGGGACTTTGCCTTTCTGCATTTTTCTATGCAAAAAGACTTTTCTTACTTTTGCACATTTCATATATAATTAAAACGCAAGTAGATGAATTTCTTCATCCTTTCTTTTCTAATTCATTCATACTCAGTGATTAGTGCTAAAACGCGAATAGTTGAGTCTTATTATTTCTGTTACTGAGAAAATAGCTGTATGCCGTCCAGAATATATTTTCTGCCGAAGTCTTGCATAGAATCAACTTCCAGATAGTTTTCTTTGGCAGATAGTTCATATGAATTACTTTTTCTTATATTTTTATCGAATTTCATTTTGCTTTGCCGCTCATTTTCTATTTATGATCCCAGTTGATGGAATCCATCGATGACGAACATATGATTTGTAGAAGTGAATTGAACTTATTTTATTCAAACTAATTTAAATTTCAACGAACCCTTTCATCTTTGGCATGACGATTAGTAGATATGTTATACATATGTAAGTGATGAAGAACAAGAAGATAGTAATGATGAATAAAGAAAACTGTTTATTTGTTGAAACTTTAAATATTTTTAAATTTCTTTATTTTATTAGTTTAAATAATTGTATGTTTCTTTGTTTTATAAGCTTAATTATTTGTACAATATGTCTTTTCCTAAAGTTTAAATATATTTCGAAGTAACTTTAGTTTTTGAATAGCATAATATTTTTTATTGCTCTTAGAAGCAGATTTGCCACCTCATGAAGCCTGAAAAGCGGAAAGTTCATCTAAAAAATGCGGAAAATAGCAGAAACTTATACTATAATGTGAGTTTAGGCGTAGAAGTGCATGTAAGGTGGGAGAATGAGTGCCCATGTGTAGATGTTGATGTCGATACGGTGTCTTCTGAGAGAAGTTTCTACACACCGACCTTATTTCTTTTTCTCCCAAAAGCATCGGCTATGGCTTTCACGTGATTATTTTCACCTAATTGTAGCATTAGCTTTACTGCTATTATATTTTCATGATATTTTTCATCTTCATTTACCATCTCAATACCACTTGATCACAAAAAAAAGTTTTAGGTTTTTGGATTTACGATTTTTCTGTTTAAGCAAAGCACGAATAATAAGCTGATAGACAGCGTCTACTATCAATTCAAAACGGAACAGTGTTTTTGCTTCACAAATAGGAATTGAGAGCAGAGTCTCTCTTCCATAGACAAACTTTTAATGTTGTTACAATGAGTTAACAGATCAATCAATAAGAATGATAAAAAACTCTACACGTCAGTGATCACAATTTATTCAATCAAAACAGGTTTTATTCTGTAGCAAATTTGACATATGAAAAAAATTTTTATACCAAAAAGCAGAAAATAGCGGAACAGTGACAAAAATGCGGAAAAAGAGGATAAAGCGGAAGAGATGGCAACCCTACTTAAAAGATTTCTGAAGGAACGAAGAATTGTAAGAAAATTGACTTTCTGCCAAATTTTTATCCTTCCCCGCCCCTCTCTCTCCACTCCTCAGCAGTACGTTAAGACTGTGAAAAACAACGAAGATGAAAAATCGGAGTTAATGATTATTGTAAAAACACTGCAACTGCAAACGAACTGTGAATCATATCGTAGGATGTTCTCAAATACACAAACTGTAAATGAGTACTGACAGCACTGTCATGTTTTATCGCATTTATTATAAAACATTTGTCAAAATAAAGGCACAGCCGTAAGCGGCGATATACAGAGATATAGCATAAAGACATTGGGTAGCATCCGAACATAAGTCGCAATACGTAAGACTTTAATTTCGAATGTTGTTTTCAATTCTCTGCGGTTGTAAACATGAATGTTTTACGTCATGAACACCACCGTTAACTGTCCCGTACCCCTTCGTAATAGTGTTTCGTATGCGGATTCGGCAGATTTGACGGATAGTATCCCCATTCAGACCCCATACCCATACCCAGATAACATGTGCTACATTTATTCAATGTTTCTCATTGCATAAGCAGTTCGCATGATCGTTGGCAACGTGTAGTTGCTAGTGAAAGCCAGGGAGTGGGTGTGGGTATAGGTGTGGAGTGTTGGTGTAGATGAGGGTGCGTGAGAAGGTATAGTGGATGTGAATGTAGCTGAACTGATTCTCTGACCCACACCCACACCCTTAAGACACACGATTTTTGAACCAATACTTGGAAAGATCGCAAAATTCCGAAACTTACTACCTGCTCTGAACTTTCGCTACTCACTTTTAAAGAACGCAAAACTAAGCCAATATTTTGTATGAAGACTTTTGCAACAGGGGTTAGTCTTGATCAACAGGCTAACAAGGATAAAAAATTCCTTTATCGTAATGCAAAAACTTCTCTGTGCGCCTTCATTTTATACATTTAAATTTTTTTGTTTGGAAGCTTATGTCTAATATTAGCTCCTCTCGCGGTCGTTTTTAAAAATTCTTGCTTTTTAAACGAAGAACAGAAATGACAATTTTAATAAGTCAAAAAAAAAACCTAAAAAAATGGCACTGTTTTTATACAGATGTTTTCTTATATGAAAATAAAAAGGTTTTTTTCAAAAAAAAAGGGTCATGATAAGATCTAGCACTAGACACAAGCTTTTAAACAAAAAAAAATGTTTGACTTTATCTCTTATTGTGATAGAGTTCTGCTGAAGATACGTCGTTGAACCCACGTTCTGAGAAAAATGAAAAATGATTTTCGGTTTTTTGTAAAAACAGTTTGTTTTTCGAATAGGAAGTGACGAAAATCCGCCAAATTTTTCGGAAAAAAAGAGATGTCGAGCAAAAGTTTTTGTCATTTATGAAAGAGCAGATGATGGACTATTTTACTATGAATTTATGTCAATTTTGATCATTTTGGTAGAAAGTGACTTTTTTTGAGGGGAGATCTTAAATGAGCACTTGTGTTAGTGCATAGTAAACTGAAACTATAAATCCTGAAAATATGACTACTTTAAATTGATATCTTATTTTTCTTTTAAATTGATAATTGACTAGATTATGGATTAAAATACTTCAATCGTATACAAAAGATATTAGTTGATATCAAAGAAACACACATGACGCAGACAGAATATTTATTCCTAATTGATCACATAATTTTTGAATAATTCTTATTGCTCGTTTTAGTGCTATTTTGTCTATGTCAATCGATTGTAGACTAGGCGACATGTCGATCAGCATGTTCATTCTATAGACAAGAAAAAGAAGAATGAAAATGGCATTTACAGAGCACGCGCATTTTTCATCATTAACTTTACACATCACCGATTGAAGACGGCTTGACATAGACACATTGAGGTAAACAGTGGTTTTTTTTCTTGTTTATGTTTGTATATATATATTTACACATTCAAGAAAAAAATGAGGAGGAGTCAAATGATGACAACTAGCTGATGAGTCTGAGACATATTTTTGTGAGATTGTATTTTAGAATGTTTTATTCAACTCATTATCTTTGTACTTGAAAGAAAATAGAAGCATTTG